ACATATTACATATTTTATTACATAATAATAAATCTGAAATTTTCATATATTTCTTATTTATAAATTCGGGATGCGTATCAATTGATGAATACACCTCTTGTATCCCTTTTGTTCGAATTTCTCGGGAAGTGACAGTACCCGAAGATAAGGTTCGTCGTGAAATCTTTCGTACAATATGAAAGTTAAAAGTCCCTGAAAAAAAAGAAGAAGGATCTCGAATTTACATTGTCCTCTTCGCGTATGAAAAGACTCGTCGCTGTCCGACTTTCGAAAACAGTAGCGTACCCGCTGTTTTATGTACAATGAACACAGGTTTATCGCAGCCAGAGGGGTGGGTTTGTATTGCGTTAATAATACATGGATTTACATTATTTTGCCGCGTGCTTATGATATCCAGGGCAACGTTATTTCAGCAAACTCCGCTCGTAACGACTGAAAATGTTCGCCTCGTGAAGTTTAATTCAATCTGCTCGAGTAACATGGGAACTCCATAGTCGTTAAGGAAAAATTGATGCTCCAGAGATGATTCGTTACATAAACACAGTGAAATATGTATGAATTCCCGACGAGCCTGAAACGGTCGCACACTGTCAGAGTTTCTGCCCATTCAACTAAACGAACACTGTACATAGGGTGTGAAAGAAGGTATCTGTTCTCAATATTTAAATGAAGGATCTATTTACCCCTTCGCATTTTATAGAATGCAGCATTCCAAATCCGAATAATTCGTTTTCAAGTGATCATAGAACAATACATATATCTGCTGTAGAAGTTATTTGACTTCGCGAGTGATGTTACTTGGTGAAATTTTTTTAGTATTTCTTCGTGAAAACACCGATTACTCTGATGGATATAATCAATTAATTTCATAATTAACTGAAGCTTAGTTAGTTAAATACTTTATACGAATAATAATTTTCCATCAAACCTCTTTTAAGTTGTACTTATGTTACATTTTTCCATGGATGAAGACAAGAAATTTTTATTTTTCGAATTGTATCCTATATTACAAGAACTTCAACTTTAACTTCGAAAAGAACTTTCACCCTCTCAACCTGAATATAGACGGTTCACAAAAATTTTTGCTGAATATTGTCGCAAATTCCACACCTACACAAAGCTCCCTCGAAATCCATATGTCACGTTTGAATGATATTCATTTTCGAAGAAGATAGGGTATTCAGAAACAATATTCAGAAGCACTTTTGTTTAATCGAATGGATTGAAACTCTTAAGAAAGATTCTGCGAGAAAACACATAATTCACGACTTTCTATACTGTACTTTTATGGTTGAAATCCTTCTTCGAAGCAATAGCAGATTATTTGTATTCCCGGTAGGAGGTACTTATTTCACACTGAGTATATTCGCGACACGGCTGCAGGCTTTAGCGACGTGTATCGTAAACCGTCAGTTTACGATGCCAACGGCTCAAAAGCGTTCGACTGAATAGTGCTACATAAGGGTAA